GTTTACTGCTATGCAAGTTGTCTGGTTATGTATCCTGGACATTTCTGGGCTATACTTTGTTAGAATCATCAGTAAGGTGCTGATCTTTATTAACTATTTAAAAATACTTGTAATAAGGATGTAAATTGAAGGAGTATGCACCTGCGATTCAAGATTATAATAATTTTTTGGCAAAGGCAATTGCAGGAGGGACTAGTCAGTTTGTTAAAGGGATCTTCAAATGCAGCAATGCTTACACCAACCAGGTTTGTTTTCACCAACTTATTAGTACTATATGAAAACAGAATATTCTAACATGCTTGGAAAATATAGTAGTAATATTTTAATTCCTAAAGGCAACATAATGGAAAATGTTGTATTTATTGATCTTCAAATGTTGTATTTGCGGGTGTGCATGTTTTTGTTGATGTTTTGTTTGACAATTATCTTCCATTTTCATAGAACATTGACATTGTTCACATGACATTTGTTTTTGCTATTCTGTCTATAGATCTGGATTTCAGTTTCCTTGAGATGAATCCCTTTACCTTGGTGAATGGAGAGCCATACCCATTAGATATGAGGGCAGAGTTGGATGACACTGCTGCCTTTAAGAACTTTAAGAAGTGAGCTCCTCCTCCTCCTTCTTACATTCTCTTTTGATACACAGTAAATTGATCTGTGAAAAGTTCCATTTAAAATAACCCTATTGTGATACTATCTAATCCTATTTATTTATGAGTTTAGGTGGGGTGTCATAGAGTTTCCTCTTCCCTTTGGAAGAGTTCTGAGTCCTACAGAATGCTTCATTCACTCATTGGATGAAAAGGTAAGTGCATTACTTTTTATTTATGCATAGTATGAGAAATTTTCTATTTTGAGTAATCACCAATTGTTAAGTTGTAGAAATTTTCTATTTTGGTTTTGGTTTTGGTTTTTTTTTTGAATTTATTTTTATATAGTTAGTTGAGCCACAAAGTGTGCCTATATATTAAGGAAATGAGCTTTTTGACTGTAGATGCATTTTTGACTGTATATTAAGAAAAGTGTGCCTGTATTTTATGTTGGTTTCCCTGGTAAGATCATCTTCAAAAGTATATATCGACACGCTATACTACATCCAGAATGGTAGGTGGTGTCATAAAGTTATGAGCATTTTGTCTGTTCATAATTTATTGCTAGTTCTATTTAGTTGTTAACATGTTGCCTTCACCTTCATTCATCTATCAATTATTCAATGCCGTCAATTTACTTTCTTGAAGTCCTAAACATTGGGTGTTCTACCTGGAGCTACTATTCTAGGTAATTTTTGCTTCTGGAGTGTGAAGCATGAGGACCTTGTTGAGCAAGTGAAGAAGTTGTTTACCAAATTGTCATCGGATCCAACCACGACTTCTGAATTAGTTGCCAAAGGGCCAGCAATTTTTTCAGAATTTTTTGTGTTAAAATCCTTTGGTTTTTTATTTCTCTTATTTTTTCTTTTTTTCCTCGGATCTGACAGTGGGTGTTTTGGTTCACTCCTTATTTTTTGTATTAAATGGGGGAGTGGTGAGAGAGAGAGGAGGGTAATGTTATTTTGTGGCTTTGTATATAAGGTAGTAATTTTTTGATTGAGAATTGTGAATTCAATTTTTGAATATGTTATTTTGTGGGAAAATTAATGCTATATTAAATTGAATGGGAAAGTGAATTAATGCTATATTTGTTATTTGAATGGGAGTTATTATTTGATATTAGTGTTATTTAGTTTTATTATTGGTGTTCTTTTAGTTCAATCACATAAAATTAACACAATTTCAAAATAAAATAAAAAAAGAAAAAAAAAAAGAAAGATAAGACGGCGTTTTTAAAATGCCACTATAACGGTTGGAATTTTTAAAATTAAAAAAACCTATGAAGGCGTTTTAAAAACGTCGCTAAAATCATAGTGACGTCATAATATTGTTAGGGTAGGACATTTGGCGGCGTTTTTATAAACGCCGCCTATACTAATACAGCGACGTTTTCCAAACGTCATAAACTTATAGCGACGGCCGCATCATCGGCGTTTGATACTAAGCGTCACAAAAAAAATTAGCGACGTTTTTGGTACTTATAGCGGCGTTTTTTAAACGCCGCTAAAAGCCTTATTTCCAGCCGTGTCCGTTGACTATAGAAAAATATTTTCCATTGAATTTTATTTTCTGTTGTACCAAACACCAAAAAATACAAAAAAAAATATTTTCTAAAAAATATTTTCCGTCCAAACAAACGGAACATTAGTGTTGCCATCAATTGATTGGCGTCCTTAATACAGCGACGTTTTCCAAACGTCATAAACTTATAGCGACGGCCGCATCATCGGCGTTTGATACTAAACGTCACAAAAAAAATTAGCGACGTTTTTTGTACTTATAGCGGCGTTTTTTAAACGCCGCTAAAAGCCTTATTTCCAGCAGTGATAGGCCTCAAACATAATTAAATTATAATATTTAAACACATACGGGGCCTTAAGCGGAAGCAATATCAATTAAAGACAACATCCATTGAGCTTATGCATACATGATGGTTTAATTAGATTCAAGCATTTAAATACATTCCCAGAGTTACACATACAATCACAGACTTTATATAGATCCCACACACACTTACATAAGACTTAATAATTTATATGACTCCTAACACAAATTAAGGCCTCAACACGGAGGCATACCCCAGGCGGCTTGGCAAACAGGTAGACCTCAATACAATTCTAGTGTCAATCTCCGATGGCTCACCTACATAAATATACATAAAAACAGAGTGAGCCGGGCTCAGTGAATAATAGCAATGTAAGGAGATGAGTTAAACGGGTATAGGCTTAAAGAATGTAAACATGCATATTAAACCATACACAGATCTTTTTCATAATTATATTTTAAAACGGTCTTAGACCCACATGTAACACAGAACGGCCTCAGGTCCATATATAATACAGAGCGGCTATAAGCCCAGATGTGATACAGGACGGTTGTAAGCCCCGATATAATACAGAACGGCTGTAAGCTTAGATATAAGACAGAACGGCTGTAAGCCCAGACATAACACAGATCGGCTGTAAGCCCAGATATAATACAGAACGGTTGTAAGCCTAGATATAATATAAAACGGCTGTAAGACCAGACATAATACAGATCAGCTGTAAGCCCAGATATAATACAGAACGGCCTTAGGCCCCACATATTATGCGGAGCGGCCTCAGGCCTACATATCAACAGATTGGCCTCGGGCCCATTATTAACAAAACAGAATGATTCCAGATACATAAGGATATCATTGTTCCATAATACACATGTTCCATTTGTTCATCATGAATTCAGATAGTTAACTTGCAGATAATAGAACGTCAGTATTAACTATTAACAGTAAGCAAAACGTACTGCTACAGTACTATTACTCGATAGTGCACAAAGATTTTCTCCATGGTTTATTACAAGTTGACGTAGTTGTCTTGCGGATAACAGAACATTAATAATAACTATTAACAGAAGGCAAATGTATCACTGCATTAATAGGAACAGAACAATTCACATCATAACGGCCTCAGGCCCACTTCTATTACTAAGGATAGAATGGCCTTAGGTCCATACTAATGTCATTATTCAATCATATCCATTAATTTAAGCAAAGCACAATATTAATGAAATAGGCCATTCACAAATGACAATGCATAAATCATAATCATAGGAAGTAAGTGAGATATATCGTTACACTACTATTACCCACAGTGATCGGCTCCCGGTAGTAATGGGACGATGTCCTCGTTTCGACCTACAAGCACAATGCACAACAAATAATATGAGATTATATTTGATCCTTTACTTATTCTCTTTGATCATTTAATCAATTAGCCATGGTGGTACCAAGCTCATTGTTCCTTAATAAGATATAATCCATGTCTCAGAAAACAGGAGGAATCGATGGGAAATGGTGTAGGTGAAGAAATGGTACAAAACTGGTTGACAGAAAGTGAACAGTCGTCACTAATCTGGACATAACTATTTCTGTATTTAGAATTTTGGAGTGAGACCACCACTATTGGAAACTAGACTTCCAGGGCTTGATTTTAGGCTCAAGAATCACTCAAAACGGAGTCCGGAGGAAAAATATATGCTTATTCAAAGTTAGTTGAACAGAGCTGTCTCCCCCACGTGCGGGAAACAGAACCGCACGTGCAGCTCTAGGTAGTTTGTAGTCCGAAAATGGCTCTTTTTGCCCCAACACTTGGTTTTTCCATTTTTAAGCTTGGTTCTTAACATAAATCACTCAAAAACATATAAAATTATCTCATAACATGATAAACTAACATCAATCAAGTGTAATTCCATTTTAAACAAATCAATCCTTGCCTCAAAAATAGAAATTCAAGTCTCATCTTCTATATAATCAAACTTCTATAATATATACCCCAAAATCATACAAATACATCTTACACATGGTTGATCTTTACATCAAAACTTCGTATTCCATGAATCATTCTTAAGATTGAACCAAATTCAAGCAAATTTAAGGAAATCAAGGTTTAATTCCTTGAGTTTAACTCATTTCATTCATAACCCAACACACTTGTTCATTTACATATTAATTTTCCAAGTCCATCCTTGATTTCATGTAGTAGATGCATTATTTACAAAGATAATAGTTGAAGCCACATACCTTAACTTAATTCCTTGTTTTTCCCTTTAATCTCTTCAATTTTCCAAGCTTCCATAGATGATCTTCTTCCTCTCTCTTTAATTCCCTTCAATCATCTTCAAAGCCACCATGAATGTTGAGCTTCCCTCTCTATCTCTCTTTCACGGTTCTCTCTCTCTCTCTCTCTCCCTTAGATATTTTGTTTGACTTCAAAATGACAAATTCCCAACTCACATGGCCTATCCATATATGTATATATCACACACTTAAGCTTTTCACAATAAGGAGGGCCCGCCCTTACGAATCACACAAAATCAAATTTCAATTAAACTTCCCAAACGACTCTAAAAATTATGCTGATCATAAATATGTCCTCTGTTCCGGTTTTTGAAGCCTCGAATGCCTTCAATTTGCAATACAAAGTTAACCACCCAAACATGCATTAACGAATCAAACGAATTAAATTTCCAATTAATTTTTCCAGACAGCTCTAAAAATTCTCATTAACATGTCCAAATACTCAATTTTAATTTCTGAACCCGTAAAGGTCGATAATTTCAATTTTAAAGTTGTGACTCAATAAATAATTTCTCAATTTGAACAGATATCATTAAATTAAAATGCATTAACCCACAGGGACTTAAAAGTAATTTTGGATACGGATTTTGGGGTCGTTACACTTCTTCTAACCCAAAACCTTCTACATAGGATGAGGCTGCATCTTCTTCTTCTTCTTCTAAGGCTTCTGGCTGGGGAAGCTGGCCAGAACCTGAGGAATCCAAGATAAGAGAGCGAATTAATCATCAATTCATCGAATTTGTTGATCCTCTATCTTTCCCTCCTTTCGCTCAGAGCTCAGTGGTTTACCCATATGTATCCATCGATCGCCGACGCAGTTTAGAAGACAACTTACTTATAGCACGGTACACATCCTCCATGCCTACGATGATAGTGCAAGCCACTTGTCGTCCAGAGGAAGCACGAGGGTACAACCCGTCATTCTTAGCCCAGAGGGCAAAACTTTGCTCTTCTGATTGGCTTGAATGCGTAAACAACCCCCAGTTCCCTTCTTCTTTTGAGATGGATCCTTGTGCATCTCCTCTTCTTCAAAACCCTCACTGGATAGAAGAACTTAGACTTACTCTCTTTGAGAATCAATTTCTTCCTTCCTATGAACCTCCAGCTTCCCCCACTATATTTGAGCGATATCATGCTCAAGTTCTGCTTACGGCCTTTTCTCACTTGTCCTTCAATGTTCTTGAGGGTGATGTTCCTCTCAAGAACTTTTGATAGGCTTGTGATGTTATGACTCGGGGTCATGTCCTCAACCCCATTGCTCAAGCAAAGCTGCAGATGTTTTTGGATCAACTTCCACTGTTTCTTCATTCGCACCAAACTTCTGTGGCCACCACTCAATCTTTGGACAAAATCTCAACTCGTCGAATTCATACCCAGTATGAAGCAGAGAACCTTATTGATGAATCTAATGATTTCAAGAATAAAGACTCTGCATACTAGGATGACTTAGATATGAATGAGATGGAACAAGGATTGAAGGAAACAGAGTTCGAAATAAAAGCCGAACAACTTTTTTATCAAATAAGAGCATATCAGCTTCAGCAACCTAGCTTGGAGAGAATAAAAGAAAGAATAAAAAAGGAACAGAAATTCATTGACCACAGTTGGACCAAATTCCATGACCTTGTCATTTTCTCTATTCCTTATTTTATGAAATTAAATATGTAGCCAAAAAGGGCTTTTGTTGTAATTACTTTCATCTTAATAAAGTTAAGTTTTCCTCTCTTTATCGGCATGGTTTGATTTTATTCTATTTGTCCAAAACAAACAAAATTAGAGCTTCGAATTCACCAATTTTGTCCTTTGAAACCTAATTTGAACATATCCAATAAAATACTAGAAACCTAATTTGAACTTCCCCAACATATGGAATGTAACTGACAACCTTTGCCTTAGGTCTTCTCTTTTCAATC